TCTTTTTTTTTTTTTTTTTTTTTTTTTTTTTTTGGTTCTTATCAGTCACTTTTCTTCTTTCTTACTATTACATTCTTGTTCTTATTCTTCTCTCCATTTCTTCTTTTTTTTTTCTTTTCTTTTTTCTTCTTTCTTATAGAGGTATGTGTATATGTATGCTGTCAGAAGTCATTTATACTACCCCTAAACGATCTCTTTCGTACATTGTTCTTGTTATTATCATCTCCGCCACTCACATCATATTTTTTCTCCAAAACTGTGAATACAAATATTAATAATAACAACAATAATGATAATAGCCATTATTGAATATCATTGCTTTTCTTCGTTTTCCTTTTTTTTTCTTTCTTTTTTAAACGACGCAATAAGACCAATAATCATTACACACTACTGTTAATTATCATCTCAATGGAATACAGCTACACATGCCCTTCCTTTGCCTCCGCCTCCGTTTCTCGGATCTGCAGCACAAGTCGTAATTGCCGAAGTGTTTCCCAACCAGTACTATTTGCCAATGCCGCCTTTCGCAGGAAATCTGTAGAACTCTCCAATCCATCTGAGATATTAATACTTGGGACGGATTCTTGTGGGGCTGTGGAAGTTCTCTGGACGGGGAAACGTCCCATTGGTACTTCTCTCGGTTCTGTAATGGGTTCTGTTTGGGGTGTTGATTCAGAGGTCCTGTTTGGTCTAGGCGCTGCCATATATGTTTTAGAAGAAAAAATTGGTGGTCGTTCTTGTGATTTTGATGGTAGTCGTTGTGATCTTTGTATGTGTTCTTCCTTTTCTGGTGGTGTTGGATTCATTTTCTGATCAGGGGGAGTTTCACAGGCCTTTGGGTATGGGGAAGGTGTTCGTCGGACCGGTGATTTACCATTCGCAGGTATTTCATACGGTAGATAAATGATCCTTGGTGATGTTGATGATTCCGGCACTGGTGATGCTGGTGATGGTGATTTATCCAAATCTTCTTTTAGACTCTTTGGTGTATTCGTATTTCTACTCTTTTCTGACGCACTTTTTCGTTGTCGCGATCTGGGCCGAGGGGGACAAATTTCTTCATTTGTATACACAGGCAATCGTTCTTGTTGTTGTTGTTTTTCTTGTCGCTTTTCTTGTCGTTGTTGTTGTGTTGGTAGTGGTAGTTGTTCTCGCTTTAAGGGAGTTAACGTGGGTTTCTCTTCAACAGATGGTGTGCCGGAGTAAAATACACGATCAAGTGGTACCTCACCAAATGATGATATTAATCCTGAAAGTGATGATTGATCAAAGGGTGTGATGGTCCCCATATCACTATGAAAGAGTTCTGCTGCAGCAACCACAAAAGGTTTTGAAGATGAAGATGTTAACGAATTAAATGCACCATCCGGATTACCTTTTAATCTATAAGACTCAACGGCTTGAAGATATTCTCCGGAACCCACTGATTTTGGTGTTTTTCTCCCACACACTTCCACCGCACGTAGTGGGGGAGGCGGTGTTAAACTGCGACTACTCCGCTTTGATCTATTACTCTTACAACCTTTAGAATTTCCTGATAATGTTTCTAGCTGTGAGTCTTGTCTAATGGGTTCATATATTTCTATTGCTCGAAGTGAGGGAGGTGGTGAAATAGGATGTCTTCGAGTTGCATGTACCTCCACAGCTTTAAGAGGTACACGAGATCCAGTAGAAATGATTGTTCCTCGCAGTTCTTCTCCATATATGGGTGCGGCCCGTGGTGTGGAGATGCGCCGAGTTTCATGATATTCAATGGCTTGAAGAATTGGTACAGGTGGAATGTTAGGTACAAAGGTTTCAGAACCTTCTATTGCCCGAAGAATTACATTTTTAGGTGTATCATCAAGAGTTGTGGATGAGACATAGGCTAACAGATCATCAGGAGTCTTACTTGCGGGTTTGGACTTTGATTCCATAGGAGTCCTCACAGGCAAAGGAGGAGAAGGAGGAGGTGGAGGTGGAGGACTAGCAGTAGCGGCAGCAGCATCACCAATAGTAGAAGAAACAGATACAGTTCTTTCATTCAGCAACTCCGTCTCCTGAATGGGGTAGGGAATATCATTGGTTTCATATACTATCGGTGAAAAATCTTCTTCACCATCGCCTCTTTTTTTTGTCTTTTCCTTTCCCTTCTTCTTTCCATCGTTTGCGCCATTTATATCATCTCTTCCTTTGCGCACTGTAGAATTGCCACAACCCATTGAAATACAACACTCTATCTTTTCTTTTTATTTATATATACATATATATATATATATATATATATATATATATATTGTTGTGAACCTTCTGACTATAATGTGTCGGTTATGCTTTCTTGTTTTATTGTTTTTAAAGAAAAGAAAATAAAGGGGAAAAAAAGGCATCAGAAGCAGGTTTTATTTAATAATATTTGCTATTAAACACACGGTTTGATGAGAAAGATTTATTATTATTATTTTTTTTTTTTTTTGCGCTCCAGATACAGTTCTACAGAAACACAACCCCCTTCATTTTTTTCTTCTTTTCCTTTTCATCATGTGCATTTCTCTTTCTTTTTCTCTCTCTTTTGTGAATTTTTTCCTTGCTTTTCTGTTTGTTTGTTTGTTCGTTCCTCCAAATTAGGAGTCGTGTTTAAAATGCAGAAAAAAACACTTCATATACACTTCATACATATATTTTTTCTGGTGAGAAAGAGAGAAAGAAATTAAAAAAAAAAGTATGCATGGACTCCACAACCAAAGTAGATCTACGATTACATCCCCCCGATCTTTGTTTACCTAGTTTTTTTTTTCTTTTTATTTTATTTTTTATTTTATTTTTTTCTTCCCCTACCTCTGCTTCTTTCACACATCTTCAACGACGGTGTAGTGTTGGTCTTGGCCTATTGTAGGCTCGTCTCCATTCGGCGTAGACGCCCAGGGCCCAGACGGTCATGGTATTCTTATACCCTGGATAGTGTATGGGGTTATTCCCGTTGAAGACCCCACTGATGCGCTCCTGTTGCCAGTCGCCGGTCTCCAGCTGCCGGGCCATTATGAGCCGGGCGGCGCGGTCCATCGCGGCGGCGAGTGTCTCCCGGCGGGCGGGGCTCAGTCGCTGCGGGTCCCCCCCGGCGGCGGCCGCGAGGGCCATGAGGGCCCACGCCGTCTGGACGACTTGACTGCCGCTGGCCGAGTCGACCCACACGCCCCGCGCCCCCGCGGCCACGTCTTCGCCCCACCCGCCGTCCGCGTTCTGGTGGGCCAACAGGAAGTCCGCGAGGGCCACACACGCCGGGTGCGTCGCCATCGACGGCAACTCGCCAGAGACGCGGAGGGCACTCGCCACCAGCCACGCCGCGTACGTGAAACACACCGCCCAACTGCCGTAGAAGGAACCATCAGGGCGCTGCTTCTCCAGCACACACCGTACACCATCGCGAATAGCCTGATTGACTTCTGTACGGCGATAGCCAGGGTAGAGTTCTCGAAAGAGAGCGAGCGTGTGTACACAACTACTGCTACACTCCGCATAACTGTAGTCAATCATCACATCTTTAAAAACATCCGTGCAGTTAAGAAGTTCCAAGTAGGATGGTCCCCGTGTTGGTTCATAAGAGGCCCATCCACTACCACGATTTCGCAAGGAAAGAATCTCATCCACAGCATCACGAATACGAGAAACAGGGAAAGGTTTATGACGTAATAATAAAATTACACGAAGACCCTCTGCTGTACAATCGGAAACCTGCCATGATTGTGGGGCTGTACTGAAATTCCATGCTCCTTTGGTGCGATGACGATAGAATTGTGCGGCTGCTTTAGGATTTTCACGTACCTGTGCAACATCCACATAGTGATGAGCAAGTGCCATCTCCTGTGGATACAACATTTCCATATCACAGGCACAAATAGCTTGAACGGCAAAAGAAGTATCCCATAATTGTGATCCATTGTATCCACTCATTCGCATTCCTTCAGGTCCCATAAAGAAATAATCACTTACACGATCAAGATGATTTAAATAGCGTCCACTATTTTCACCTTCACGAATCCATGTAATAAGCATATCTAACGCTTTATTTACTGGACCAAGACAAATAAAATGTGTATTTTCATCATCATATGCAATATGCGTCCATGCTACTTCCATTGCATACTGACGAAGACTTTTAATATGCCATTGTTCATAAAAAAGAAGAATTTTTGCAATAAGTTTAAAAAATGGTGAAATTGGAGTGTAACAATCTCTGTAACAAACATTATCACGATGTTGATCCCATGAAATTTGACTATATGATTCCGTATATAATTCTTGTCGTAAACTTTCTAAAACTGTATACAAAGGACAAGACCAACGCATTCCATACAAGTATGAAAATGGTACAGATACTACACGACTATGACACCAAAGACGTCCTTGTGAAAAAGGTAACCAATCTGGAATTATAGACATTTCTGGTGGTACAGGATTTATACCTTCCCAACCATATAAACCTAAAATACAAAGCCAAACTTTTCCCCAAGTAGGAATAGAAACAGCACCACCGTTAGAACGTATCCATGATCGGGCTCGAATAGCATCCTTATCATCTGATGATACTCCCATTAAACGCATGGCCACATAATTGAGAACAGTACCCAACATTGTACTATGTCCTTCTGTGTGTTGACCAAAACCACCATCTTCATTCATATAATTTCGTAAATATCGTATTAATTCTAAACGTTCTGCTTCTCCACATTTACATGGTGCATCATCCTTGTGTCGATGATCTTTATATGGGGGAAACATCTTTTTAATATCACCACCTGCAACAATAAATTTTACAAATATAATACCAGGTGTAAGAAATAGTGGTCCACTGTAATCATTTGGCCAATGACCTGAATATGGATCTTGTAAACGTATTAAAAATTTTACTCCATCTCGTATAGCTTCTTCTACAGAAGCCCGTCGTTTCACTCGTGTTGTATTTGAAAGACCCAATTGATAACGTTCTACAAATCGTCTTCGCTCTTCTTTAATGGCACGCATATCTGGTTCTTTTGTTGGTGTAACCGCTGCAGCCGCCGTTTGCTCATAGTGTACACCCACCATAGGGACATCATGAGAAGGAAGAAAATCTAATCCTGCACATTGAGCTTTACCAAGTGTATTTCCTTCTTCTTCATTTAATAATTCACCATAGTGCCAACGCTGACGTCCATCTTCACAACGGAGATGCCAGTTTTCAATGGGAAATTCTCTTGATGCCTGTACACGAACAGGACGTACATGAGGTACACTTTGAAATGGCCATCGTTGATGATGTTGCGCAACCAATCGACGATTATGTCGGTCTAGAATTAATAGCATGCAATGAACAAAAAGTAATATTGGCCATGTGAAAAAGATAAAAATCCACTTACACAAAGTTCGTCCAACTTTTAACACTACTAATTTCACATGACCAAGAAATGTTGATGGAGGATGAGGAACAATGCTCTCGAATGGGACTTGTCCAGGGGATAATGTAGAGAATGCATCCCCGTTGTTAGAGGAATTTCCAATACCGTTTAAGTGATCTGTCTTCAAAGTCATAAATAAAAACCTATTTGTTTGTTTGTTTGTTTGTTTATCTATTTCCTTCTTTTTAATATATATATATATATATATGTCTACCAAATTTTTCCTTTTGAGTGCACGATCGTATGTGTATATCTATGCTATGTCTGAAAACAATGTAATTGTATTCAGTGGAAGAGTTTTGTTTCCCACAATGAATTATTAATCCCTATAAATGGACTTCATATTTACATGTCAAAAATGTATAAAATATATTAATATCATCATAACAAAGAATAAAATCAAAAAAAAAGGAGGAAAAAAAAAATAAAATCCAAAGAAAACAGCAAATAAGTGTTAAAAGAATCATGAATAAATCTCTATCCAAACGCCTTCAACTATCATTTTCTTTTTTTTTCTTCATTTTTCCACTTCTATTCACTCAATTCATTCTCTCTTTCCATTTTTGTTTTTCTTGTTTTGCTTTTTTTTTTTTTTCTTAGAATATCGTACTCACATAGTTTCACTCCGCAAAAAAAAAAAAAAAAATTTAACTACCAGATACTCCAGTCTTTCATTTTAAGTATAATCTTCTTTATTTTTTTTTTTCCATTTTTTCCTCCTGTTTCGCCTTTTTTCTTTTTTTTTTTTTTACAAATTCTCCTTTGGCTCTTTTGAGGCCATCGCCTCTGAATCACTGTGAGTCCCATAATGCTGCTGTAGTAATCCTCCCTCCGTTCTCTCATTCATTGTATGATGATTGCTCATAATGGCATCATTAGCCTCATAATTAGATCCCCCATGTTCTCCTCTTAATCCTCCTCCTCCTCTTGTTGTTGTTGTTGTTGTTGTTGTTGTTGTTGTTGTTGTTGTTGTTGTTGTTGGTAGTATTGCTGTAGTTTCTGCTGGTAATAATACTGGTACGGCTGGATCCATTGCAAGAGAAGCCCCACGTGATGCGGTGGATTTCTCCAATCGCTGCTCAAGCTTTTCAGTTGCCTCTACAACTAGCTGGAGAAGATCCTCGCATGTAGGTCTTTCCTCTGGTAAAAAGACCAAGCAACTTTTTGCGATACTCATCATTTCAGGAAACTCACTACATTCCGGTATTTCTGGTGGTTCATTGCTGTATTTTAGCAAGTTTACAATATCCTCCTCTGTTTTTAATTCATATTCATGCCAAGGGGCTTCTGTGGAAATCATCTCAATTAACACACATCCTACAGACCACATATCACTTGCCTTGGTAGGACCTTTATTACTACTATCCCGAAAGAGTTCTGGTGCCATCCACCGCAGTGTTCCCGCCACGTGAAGTGTAGCCACATCTACAGATTTAGGATCTTCTGTTTCACCAGCACGATTTAAAGATTGACTGTGTTGTCTATTAAGAAGTTTTGCTGTACCAAAATCTGCTAACTTTACACGACCCTTATCTGTTACAAGTATATTGGCAGATTTTAAATCTGAATGAACAATATTCCGCTGATGTAGATAACGTAAACCCTCTAACATTTGACGAAGATAAGAGCAAATGACACCTGGACTTAAAGCTCCAAAGTTATCTAAAAGATGTCGTAAAGATCCACCAGGCACAAACTCTAGAAGAATATTAAAATGAGTTTTATTTTGAGATGATCCATAGTATTGGACAATATTTGGATGTACAGCTTTAGAAAGAACATTAATTTCCTCTTGTAAACTTCTATATTGCTGTAATACATCCTTATTATTTTGACCATCAAGATCTGTTGCTGGTAATGGTACCCGTTTGACGGCTATAAGTTTTCCATTTGTAAGATTTATCCCAAGATAGACCTTTGCATTCCCACCACTTCCCAATTCTTCCTCTCCAATCTTCCACTCAATTGTTTCTCGATGTTGTGGTCCACCGCCTGGACGACTACTTCGACTTCTTGTTGCAGTTGCGGCCCGTCGTCCTCCATTATTATTATTATTACTATTACTGGCATTTATTCCAAATCCAGTGGCATTGGTTTGACTACCACTACCAGCAATAAGACTTGCATTCTCTGAGGAGTGTCGCTGCTGATGATGTGGGGTACCACGTCTAGACAAAACAAGAGAACTTACACGAGAAAGGGTTGGTCCTATGGCTGCGGATTCTCGAAGTGGGACTCCTCGTTCATCTGTTAATAAAAATTGAAATCCCAGGAAAAAACGAGTGGAGTTTAGTCGAAATGTTACAAGATCATGATCATGTAGTACACATGATTTTCCTTTTCCAACTTTCTTTACATTTACATATGTTCCATTGGCGCTAGTATCGCGTAATTTAATGACCCAACCATTTGTTAAATGGGGATGGGGTGGACTGGAAAGAGATGATGCTTGTCGTTGACTACTACAAGAACCTTTTTTATTATTATTACCATTATTACTACCATTATTATTATTATTATTAAAATATGGATTTATAATGGATTCTCCGTATTGTGACTGTTGACACGGTTCTCTAATAATTACAAAGTGAATACTACTTACTAAGGCATCAGATGTCGTCCCATGGCATTTACTACTTCGACCAAAACGAAATGGTTCACCAGGCAAAACACGAATAAAACAAGATGCTATCGTTGACTCATCACTACTCTTCAACATAGCCCATGGGGGTTGTTCTTCCATGGTAAGACTGTTATTAACTACCGGAGAGGCTACAAAATCCGTAACTCCTACAGACTCCGCTCCTGATGGAGTAGCAAGACAACTTGACATCATTGTCTGGTGTTGTAACTGTTGATTAGAGTGATAATGATTATCCCCTCCTCCTCCAACTATTACTCCACTATGTTGTTTACTGCTACTATGAGGATCAACAGAGCCTAATACCCCTGATGAAACCGCTTCAGTACTCATCTCCACATCACCTGGAGTCGTTCTCACTGGACGTTCCACCGGTAGTGGACTAATAAGTCGTGGAATGGATGCATTCTTGGATGCACTAGGACTGCGTGCACCCATGGATGTGCTCATCTTACGTAGTCCAGTTTCTGGAACAGACCCATCACCACGACCACTACTTACTTCTACATAGTTTCTGCACACTTTCTCTTCTTCACCGCTGTCACTCTTATTATTATTATTATTATTATTATTATTATTATTATTATTATTATTATTATTGTTAGTAGTAGTAGTATTGTTATCATTATTATCAATAATAATATTATTGTTACCAATATTATTATTGGCTAAACTGCTGCTACTATTATGGCTCTTGTTAAAGGGATGCTGATCCCCTTCATTTCCCATTTCTCGTTGTCGATTTACAAGCAGTGGTGAGGGTCTCTTACTTTCATATAGTGGAGTTTGTACAGATAATGGAGTTGGTGTGAGTCCTACTACTCCACCTACAGAATTCAAAGGAATTTGTTTAGCACTTCCACCAAATACACTTCTAGAAGCACGTTCATCGGCATCATCCGTGTCATAATGATCTTTCGTTTTTTCTGTAGTAGTATTATTATTATTATTATTCATTCCTACTTCTCCAGATGATACTTCTACCAATTCAGCATTACCAGGTGAACTTTGAATTTTCGTATTCACTGCTGTCATTCGGTCTTCATGTTTTTTCAAGTGTTTAAATTTCCCTGTAGCTTTAGGGGATGCCAGTTGTTCATTTACTCGCAATGTTGAAATATTCCCTTTGGCATTACCACTAGTATCCTCAGAAAGAGTGGTGTGAGTCTCTTTCATCACCTCTGTAAGAGAATGCTTAAAGGGATGTTGCTCCTGTTTGATAGTCTGGATATCATTATGAGGAAGAGAGGAGGAAGAAGATAAATGAATCTCATCTTGAATGAGAAAAAGTAAAGGAACCCCTAAATTAGCCCATGTAATCACATCATCTCTCTTTCCAGTCAACTTACTAAAATACCACGACGTTGCTGGTATGGATGATCTCGGTTCATGCACAACCCCTACTCCTCCAACTGATCCCATAACATTATCTATTGGTCCTTCTTGTTGTAATAAGATATTTGAATCTTTTCGTTTAGTAGACTTCATCGTATCATTTATATGAGGGAAATCTGACAAACCACGTGGATAACTCGCCGCCCTACGAGTCGCAGAAACTACCGTTTCCATGTTCATATGATCACGTGGAGGCCACATAAGACCTGTTACTCCATCATCTAATGCGGCAGCTTCATCCCCTACAGATTCTCCACTAATCGGTTGTAGTGAAACTATTAAAGAACCCGTCCCAGAGAAGGGAAGATCTAAAATGGCTTGTAATGGTGATTCTAATCGTGTCCATCGTTCTGTTGTTGAATTTCGTTCCTGTTCTTGTTGTTCTTGTTGTTGTTGGACTCCTCCTTCTGAATTGTGTTGATCGTGATAACTATCTTTTGATATCATCAATGATTCCGGTAATGGAGCTACGTGAACTGGCCAACCCACCACTTTATATGCTAATTGACCTGTTAATCTTTCGGCTTCTCGACTCCAGTATAAAACTCTCCCTGTTGTGGGATGGACAAGAAAACACGGTAGTGGTGTCCAATCTAATGCCCAGTGTAAACGAGGTTGTCGGAGCACTATAACACTATTTCCAGTTCCATTTCGATGTTCCTTCCATACATCTAGAAAGAGAGAGAAATACAACCCTGATGGTTCTTTACATGGACCACCACTAAGTGTAGGTGATCTACTGTGATTTCCATTTCCAACATTACCAAAAGCAGCAGTACTACCAGTACGAGAGTGAGAAAATACAGTAGGAATACCCATATCATTTATGTTAGATGTTTGACGTGGTCTTCTACCACGTATTAATATACGTTGTACATCAGAATCCCCCATTCTAGCAGGTGTAACAGTCCCTTGAATGGTGGAGTAATCATTACCGTCTATATCTCCTCCTGTCCCCATCTCCGAGTGAGACTCTTTTGATAAAAAATTACCTCTACAAGTGTTATTTCTGTTTCGTAAGAGTTGACCATCTACTTTCTCTCTATGCCAGTTCGCTAATCTTGATGTAGATGCTGCTGTGGTAGAAAGTGAGGGACTATCCATGGCAACAGGATGAGTCATTGTGTGAATAACACTCATAATTTCACCTATATTTTCCACTTCTAGTTCTCTGAGAACAACAGCTAATTTTCGACCCACAAGACTTCCAACATTCATACCTACATGTGCCGCAAACCCCAAGCTTACACTCTTAATAACATTATCCTCTAAACTTAATACTAAATAAGGATAAAAAAGTTCCGCAAAGGGTGAATCTGTTTTCTTCTCATATTGCTGTACGTCTGAAATAAGTGGTTCTGTATTCTGTGTATCATTTCCACTAGATCGTCTACGAAAACGGAATGCTGATGTAGGTAAAACTCCTCTAGGATCAAGATGACTAGATTTACCAAAAACAGATGGTGGTAACATTTCATTTCCCACAGTATCTAACATACACTGAAACATATACCCATTTAAACGAGCACTAGGGGTTTCATCATTAACAACATACAAATCTTCCGTTTCACTCCATCGTTGATGTCGTTGTCTTTGTAAACGTAATCGTCGTTGATATTGGATAACAGCAACTAGAACACAAAAAAATGGTACTATAAGCCAAACTACAGAAACCAGTATAGTTCCAGTTCCTAATCGTTTGTAGTTTGCCATGAGAACGCCAAAATGTATAATGCCAATACCAAGGTCTACAGCAATTGAAATACAGGTAGAAAAAAGAAAAAGGAAATGCAGACTACATACCTTCCATACAATTTCTACTGGATATATTATCCCATTCTCTTTATCTTTATCAGGGGAAGCGATAATACCATCTCCCCCTGTATTATCCATCATAACATGTGGAGAAAGAAGAACCAAGATTCCTAGTACCAGCAATTCCATAGCTGGCAATGCATCTCTAACGTGAGTATACCAAAAAGAAGCCCAGGAACAACAATGCCTACTCCCATTACTAAGGAAATGATGATCATGTTGTTGTTGTTGTTGTTGTTGTTGATTATGATGAAGGTGATGGCAAGTAATACTACCATCTGTACAAGGGTCTGTCGCATCTCTTACCTGCAAAGAAGGTATCATTCGATGTCGAGAGAGACACCAATGGAGTCCAGCAAAGAGTGATCCAAGCAAAACAGATACCGCCATGAATACAATTTGTCCTGTATTTGAAGACCAAGGCAAGAAAAGAAATATACCAGTAATACAACCCGCCAAAGCCAATATAAACCACACGGGTAAGGCAAGAGCACTGATAAAGAGTGATGTCATCACGACTCGTTGAGAAGCTGCAGGAGCTGTCGTCTCTCGAGTATCATTGACTGTCAAAGATACCATGGGATGGTGTGTAGTGTATTTGAGAAACTTTCCAAATGATTATTTTTTTTTTTTTTCGTGGTTGTTGTTGTTGTTGTTATTACAGAAAAGGTAATGCAATGATGATGATGATAATAATAATGGCAAGGTAATTTTTTGTCGTTCCGGCGCTCTTTGTATATATATATATGTATATATACTTTTAATCACAGCTTCTGGAAAGAGTATACAGCCAAAGGATAAAAATCAAAATAATAATAATAATAATGACACAACTCAATTCAATCACCTACCTTTTTTTCTTTCTTTCTTTCTTTCTCTTCCAACTATCACTTTTTTTTTTCCCCCACTGTTCTTCTTTTTTCTTTATTTCTTCCTTCCACCTCTAGTGTTTCTGTAGTTAACTCACCAATACAGTCACTACTGTTACTAGAGAATAGAAGAGAAAATGCAAAAAAAAAAGAAAAAAAAAAAAAACCTATGCTTTTCTCTCTCCTAATACCCACCCCTACAATAGTATCTGTGTATGCGTGTGTGTGTATTTTGGTAATAGATTAGCAAAAGATAAACCCAACCGAGCCAGAAGCCAATAATAATAACAACAACAACAACAACAAGCAGCACCAGACCAGATACAAAGAGAAAGGAAAATAAAAATTTGGCCGGCTACCGTTGTTGTTATTATTGTTACTGTTCTTCTTCTTGCTGATGTTCTAATTGTTGACCTTTCTTTTTATTTATTTTTTTTGATTTCGTTCGTCTCTCCCTTTTTCGTGTGATTAACTATTTTGCTCACCCAATGTGTTCTTTCCTACAGCTAGTTCTACTCCTCCTCCTCCTTCTCCTTCCCCTCTTAGAGAGAGAGAGAGAGGGGGAGACTTGGAGTTGGTACCTTATTATAATAAGAAAAAAAAAAAAAGAAAAGAAAGAAAAAAAAAAAAAAACCCGTTGGAAAAGTACATGCATACAAAAAAAAATAAAAAAAAAATAAAATATATACTCTTTCTTCTCTCTTTTATTTACCCTTTATGAGTATTTGGGTTGAAGGTAACATCATCAATAATATATATATTTGTTTATATACCATTTTTTTTTTCATTTCAATACAGAAAATAATAATAATAATAATAATAATAATAATAATAATAATTACATGCAGAGAAAGAGAGAGGTTGATGATCATTTGCAAATAAATAAAATAAATAAAGGGCCTAAAAAAGGCCTAAAAAATAAATAAAACAAATATCTTTCTCATGAAATTTAGTATCTTCATTGTCATTTAATTATTTTTTTTTTCATTTCTTTGCGATATTATTTTTTTTTATAAATCATCCCGTATGTATTCCTCCTCCACAACCTTCTCTTTCATTAAAACAGCCGGTTTTCCTTGTTCCTTCTTTCTTGATATAAAAGTCTCCATATCCTTCTCCTCCTTCTCCATTTGTGTGGACTGTCGTGGTGGTAATTCCTTATTCTTATCCTTATTATTATTATTATCATAATCTTCTTCATCATTCTTTTTTAGGCGGCTCATGATTTCCTCCACACGTTCCTTCGCTGTTTTTCCCTTTAGAGAATCCAAATCATACGGGTTATCGGCTGGATTATGTTGCTCTCGTCTTTCCCGCATCTTCTGTAGTGACTCCAGTAAGTGGGAGTGATGCCGCTGTGTCTCTTCCTCTGAGAGAATACCAAGAGGATTCTCATGAATATTATTATTATTATTATTATTATTATTATTATTATTATTATGTTTATTATTATTATTATTATTAATATTATTATTATCATCAGAGGAAGCCTTTTCGATACTTTTCTTATAATCTGACACGAGATAGGAGACTAATGCCCCATCATTGTCCTCTGCTATTTTATGAGGCACTTCCGATATAAAATCCACCAATTTATATGCCAAGACCACCATACGTAGTGGTTGTTGTTTTTGTTTTTGTTTTTGTTTTTGTTGTTGATTTTGTGCGGTTAATTGTTTTGTTGTCCATCGTCTTCCTTCGCGAAGATACACCGCAGCTCCTGGGCGAAATAACAAGAGAACTGGTGTATTAAATCTCGCTCGGGTTCCACGTTGTGTATGGCCCTCTCGCACCATTTGTTCAATTCTTGTTAACATGTCTAATGCATCTAATCGACGGTGTTCATTCTGTTGGTCTCTGGTTTGGAAGACATGAGCAAAGGGATAGAGATCAAAGTAAAGACTGGCGTCCTGCATATCCACTACCGCAAAGTGTGGTGATGGAATTAATTGAGTTAATTGTTGTTGTTGTTGTTTTTTTATTTGTTGAATAGCATGGACGGCAGGGAGAATGATTTCTTGAATATATTTGGAGGCATTCTGTTGTAATAGAGGAGAGGAGATATTTATAAATATCACACACCACCATTCCTGATGATGTTGAATAATGAGATCCTCTAATGTCTGCGGTGTGGGGATAAACTCCAACATCTCCAATGTACTGGAGGGAACTGTATTCTCTATACCAGCAGACCGTACGAGGGTTTCTACACGTTGAATAGGCATTTCCATAGTGGATTGTTGATGTACGGTGAGAGCAGAGACGGAAAGAATGTTAAGTTTACATAACTGCAGTGTGTTGATGATAATAATAATGTTGATTATGGTCCATAGTAACAAGAACCCACAACGACGACGAGGAGAAGTGGGTGGAAAAGAATGGCGATACATGGACTGGAGAAATTCACTAAATAGATGACGTCTTATATAAAGGAGGAAATATATATTTATATATATAAATATACTTATATATAAATAATATAACAACCGTGCGATATGAGAAAAAAAAACCCAGTCCCATGCATAATCACACACAATAAAAGAGAGAAAGAAAAGAAAAGAAAATAATCACACTTTTACAACAACACAGAACAGGGAAACGAATATATCACAAGGGAACTCTTGTAATCTATTTTTGTTCACATGAGAATAAAAGAAAAAAAAAATACTACTATTTTCAACCCCTTCCTTTCCCCTTCGGTCTCTCTCTCTCTCTCTCTCAATATTCTTAAAAAATGTCTCATTACATTTCCTCAGTAATGAGAGGTTACAATAAGCAAAAACAGCATCAATGACAGCAAAAGAAAAAAAAAAAGAAAAAGCTATACATATATATATATAACATACCTGTTAATAAATTCTCAAACAAAACCCCACGGAAATAGGGAGTCCTTTTCATTTTACTTGATTACGTTACTTTATCTTTCTCGTTCGATCCATTATGTAGTTGTTATTCTTTTTGTGCTGTTTTTTTTTTTTATTTTTTTTTTATTGCTTCTCATCATAAAAAAAAAAAGGTAGATTGCTTATATATATATAGAATTGCCTTCTTCACACACACACACACACTCCCCCATCATTTACGCCCCTTTTTCCCCTCTGTTTTTTTTTTTTTTTATTATTATTTTCAGTTTTCACCGTTAGCGAGTAGAATCACACCGTACTTCCCAGTCGTCTTCCATGATGGATCTGTGCGGTCCAACACATCTTGTTTGGCTGCCGTCACTCCAACGCAGCCCTCACTCTTCACAGTGCGAATAGCACACACCGGCACCGCATTCACTGGCCAGAAAGAAGATATAATATGTTGAAAACTAGGCGCCTCACTGTACTTTTGTTGTTTGTCTTTTTGATTTTGTAAAGATTGGGTGTCGGCGAGAAGTGTTTTGGATATTTTAGGATCTTTTAATTCCTCTGATGTAAGAGTGGATAAGAAGGCCCGATTATCCCAGTGACGATCCCCGACAAGACGTCTAAAGTTCAAATCCCCTTTAAAGATTACAAGAGCTGATCGTGGGGTATAATGTATATTCTCATGTAATTGAGCAGAAAAATATTTTCCTTCCTTCGTCTTCTTCATATTCTTCTTCTTCTTCTCTTGATCTTCCATCTCTGTTGGGGTTAATAAACGTTGGGTAAAGAAGAATGTATTACATACTCGTGGTGGTAATTCCCGGTATTCACATGGTTGTGTCCACACTGTATCGGCATCAATCCGCAATCGTTTATTCTCTAAAGCCTCACGTATTAACTGTACAAATGGTGTAATGATGATTCCCGCTGTTGTCGGTTCTTGTTGGGCAAATGCCTCTAATTGTTGAATAAGATATGTAAAGTCTGGTGGAGTTACATCCGAGACATAATAAGGCATATTCTTTACATGTAGAGTTACACATAGTGTGGGGTGATGCTGGAGAATCCATAATGTAAAGATGAGATCCGCCACACATTCCACACCTACATTATCCATTACAATATCAATGGTACGTGGAGGTGTATTGTTATTAGTATTGTGAATGGGTTCTGTTTCTATAATACGACGAACAAGTTGAACCACTTCCTCTACTTGATTTCCCACAATATGATCATCTTGTTTAATTACTGTTTTGGCTTCTGCGGCACGTAAATTTCCTTTCTTCTTTTCTTTATCTTTTTCTTCTCCTTCTCCTCCTCCAGCGGCTCCACCATCATGTCCAGTCTTTGCGGAATCCTCACGATGACTCTCCTGCAGTTGTTCCAATGTAAACATGGAAAGATCCACACCATTTCCCCACAACATCCATCTTAACAAGACACCAAGAAAATCTGCATCCGTTTCCCAAGGAACACATGCAAGCATTGGACAAATCTTTAAACGCATGAAATTATTTAGAACCTCATGTTTTTCACGCGTAAAGAAATCACGATAGGGTTTTTGAAAATAACCTTCACGTGGAACAATGAAATCACCAGCGGCAAATATATTATATTTATCTGCCCCATCCGGCATAGCCACACCATCAGACACACATGTACGATCTGAACTCTTTGCAAGAAATGTTGGATCAAAACATTGTGCTGGGGCCACACCTGTAGCGGTCAAGACAGGATGCGTTGTAACCGTACACTCATATGTAGCGATAGGTGTACAATTTATATAAGGAGATACAAGATTTGGTATCCATTCCCTTGTTGTTATCATACTTTCCTTATTATTATTATTATTATTATTATTATTATTATTATTATTATCTTTATCCTGGTTAGTAATGGTTTGGTTATCGGTATCGGCAATCATCAAATACTGCGCCAAGAGATGATAAAAATAAATCTCACCATGCAACCATGGCAGTTGTCCCCAACGAGGAGCAATAGAAACCTCCTTTCCTCCTTCTTCTACTTTTCCTTGTTGAGATGTTGTTCCTCTTGAAGGGTTTATCTTATCACTATCATGTTCTCGTGTAAAGGCGTAACCCTGCAGCCATGATGGTAATTTCTCTTGTCCAGGCAATGATGGCACCTCCGCATTACATCTTGTTCCTTCTATTAAGGCTTGAATTAATCTTCTTCCTGTATTTGTTGTTAAGGCCTCATTATCCTTCAGTGTTCGTGTGAGAATTTCTGGAATACGCTGGAGTAGTGTAATTGTACGGAATTCCCGTGGACCCGCATCTCGAATCCGCACAAGTGTTGGTAATCTTTCTGCTGGACTCATTGCGGATTGAAAGAGTTGTAGTAATTCCTCTGCATTTTTCCAGAGAGCAATTTTACAACAACCCCCACCATGGATCATATTAGGATCTGTGAGAAGTCGATGAATGGGAAAATCACGACGGGCAAACATAAAATCTCGTGGTCGAAGAACATTTAAAATAGGACAAAGATCATTTGCCCCATCACCAATAAAAATAATAGTTGGATCAATCAATCGTGTGGTGTGAAGGAGTCTGGCAATAATACGACTTTTACACATATTTGGACGTTTACGGGTATTACAACCCTCACAGTTGTGTCCATTGGGTTCATACCATGCAAGCCGACAAGATCGGGATTCATCACTACTCACAACATCATGAAAAGAATTACTGTGAATTTGTGAAATAATAGGCCGTGCAAATGGGATATGATGTGCAATAGAACTTTCAATAAAAAGAAGATTGGCATCACTGGCAATGGCAATCTCCACAGAAGGTGAACCCATATTATGGTGAAGATCTTGTTTAGTTCCTTCTCCCTCTTCTTTTCCTTTTTCTTGTTCTTCTTCTTGTTGTTGTTGTTGTTCGAGGAGAAAACGAAATACTTGCGGCATCTTTTCATCCATCGTTACACATTTCGCAGTGGCATCTGTGAGTTTTGCCCGTGTGAATGGGGCGATCACATCATCTACGAGATGTGTCCATTGCAGCGGCTCCTTTGCCTGCATGAGTGTTCGTTGATGTTCCCCACGTCCAAGCTCCTGTGGGATGACCTCATCTGTATTGCAGTTGACCACTGTGTGATCAAAGTCAAATACCACAAGAAAGGATTGTCGGCCAGCAGAGAAGGAAGAAGTGGATGGTGACATCTTTTTTGTTTCTTTTTTTCTTTGGGGGAATGTGTAATGATTTGTTTTTTTTTTGTTGTTTTGTTTTTTCTTTTGGGTTATATTACTTTTCTTTTATTTCCTTCTTTCTTCTTGTTGTAGTTGTTTGTTATTGCACGTACTTATATCTATATATATATATATATATAGATATATATCTCTAAGGGGTATTTTACTCTTTTGGTTTTGATTCCTAACGATTATTATTTGTGTTGTTTATTAGTCAACTATCTCTTTTTCATAGTGTAAAGAGTACCGTTGTGTATTTTAGAGATGGGAATAACAAACCAGAGTAATAAGATAACAAACAACGCGCAATATAAAGAGAGAAAAAAAAAGAAAAGATAAAAAAAAACAAATATGTGTTAAACAGAGAAAATACAGTATTATTTGGGCTGAACACACCCCAAAAATGGCTATCCAATAATCATACACAACACATCAGAATATATCCATCTATATATATATATATATATATATATATATATATCTTGTTACTACGTTTGATTGTGTATCTGTTGTTTATTACTATTATATATGTAGTTGTTGTTGTTGTTATTACGGTGTTTGTATCTATTTCTTTCTCAGTCCGTACAATTCTCTCCATTCGGTAGTTTTCACCAATTACAACAACAACAACAACAACAACAACAAGAATAATAAGAATAAGAATATGAACAGTCCACTGTCAAGTATGTTAACAAGAGAAAAAAAGTAAATATCACTAGTGAGGAGATCGTTAACATAGAAAAAAAAAAAAAAACGTCACGTAGGAAACTCAAGAAGAAAAAAAAAACAAAATTCCTGACAGAAACAGATACTGATAAACAAAAAACCAAAACCAATAACAAGAACAATAATAGTAATAATAAAACAAGAAACTATGGAAAAAAAAAAATTACTGATATAAACTGAAACTATTACTACTACTGTTCTCATTATGTTCTCCTTTCCTTCTCATACAAATACATATATATATATATATATATATATATATTTCTCTCTCTCTTTCTTTCTTTCTTTCTTTCTTTCTTATTATTAACTCTGTGCATGAAGACCATATCGCACAAACACTGCCTCCTCTGCCTCTGTGATTGCCTTTGCGTGATCGGTATTGCGATCTAATGATAAGAGTGGCCGTAGTAATCCATCATCTAATCCAAACACCCATCCATGCAACTCCACCGTGGGATTCCCACCAGACACATTCTTCTCATCCCACGCCTGTGCCATTAATTGTGTATCCAATACATGTGAAACTTGTGTAATCACATTTAATTCACACAAGACATCCAAATGATACTTTTGTGGAAGTCGTTCAATTCGTTTCCAAAATCGACGTTTAACGGAATTCACATGCAGAATCCAATGATCGGCGAGACCCACACTTACTCCTTCCAATGCCGCCTTTACACCTCCACAGCCGTAGTGACCAGTAACGATGACGTGTTCGACCTTTAAACAGGCAATGGCGTATTGAAGAACGGAGAGAACATTTAAATCGGCATTGGAAACAATATTGGCAATATTACGATGGACAAAGACTTCACCAGGGAGAAGTCCAATAATTTCATTTGCAGGTACGCGAGAATCACTACATCCTATCCATAAATACTGTGGGAATTGTGCCTCTGCGAGGGTTTTAAAGTAATCTGGATTTAACTCGACGACTTTACTAGCCCATTGTCTATTATATTCCAGTAAGGGTTGAATTCCACTACCACGAGGAGGTTGGGAGTGTTGTAAAGATTGAATAAGTGTTCCTCCTATAAAGGTTTTATCTTCTTTAGCAGTAGTATCAGTTTTATTAGTATCATTATTATTATTATTATTATTATTATTATTGTTATTATTAGTATTATTTTTATTGTTAGTATTATTAGTTTTATTATTAGTTTTATTATTAGATTTATTATTATTATTATTATTATTATTATTATTATTATTATTATTACTATTACTACAACCACTGCAGTGACAACAACTGTGGCAAAGTGGAGAGATGGGTAATGACTGCGTATGAGAGAGTAGAGCACCAGGAAAGGGAGGACGCGGTAGGTGAATGTACGCAGCACTATTTATATACTGCGACCATTGCATTCTTGTTAAGAAGAGAGATTGATGTAAACGACGCATTCTTCCAAGATATTATAAATAATACTACTTTTCTGTGTGTGTATATATATGTGTTTGTTTGTTTGTTTGTGGTTCTGTTGGCTATGATTACACGCTGTGTGTGAAAAAGCAGAGAAAAAGTAAAAGAAATAAGAGAGAAAAGATCATCATTACTTATC